GACGTCATGATGTGATGACGTCATAAAGGAGAATGCACGACGATTCGCGGCAAAATCAGTAAAATATACTTAAAATCACTTAAAAAGCATGAAATAAAAAGAAAATTAATTTGTTTTACATATAAGATTGAAATATATTTCATTCGTGAACACCAGCTATTAAATTTTCACTCATGGCTACGCCACTCGTGAAAATATTGCATCTGGTGTTCACTCAGTGAAATTATATTTCAATCTTACATGCAAAACAAACAAATGTCGTCTATTTATCCTTTCATTCCATAAATGCAAAAAGAATTTAAGGGACTGAGTGAAAGCTTAAATAAATCATATTAACTTGTAGAAGATTTTTATGAAGAAATTGGACATCGAGCAAAAATTTGTTATCTATATTTGTCCCTGAGATAAAATATTTCCCTTCATAGTTGTTTATCAATTCAAATATGCGTTGTAACAAAATATTTCGAGTCATAACAAATATTATATTCATTCGAAAAATGTGTGAGAATGTAAAGCAATAAGAGCAACATTATCTACTACAATTAAACAATAAATCAAAATTATCTGAGACACATTGGAGACAAAATTTAAGTATAAAAAAATAAATCTGCACTACAACTGGTTTGTTTCTTATATGATATCCCTATTATCTATTCAGATGCTTATTATAGAATTAATATGTTAATGTTGTTTTTTAAAGGTTTGCAGCAAATCCTTTGCTACAATATGATGCAAAAGAAATAATTTTCTTGTTTTTCTCGTTTTCTACCATGTATATTCAGGAATAGAACGAACAAGTCATAGATTGGCAATTGTTAATTATACAATTAAGCTACATATACTGTCCAAAATGTCCATTGTAGTGTTAATCATTATGCTCAGTTGTTTAAAGAAGATATACAAAATACTCTCTTTATAGTCTTGACTTCCTCAGTGGTATGTCTTGAACTGGGAACAAAAAGGCATTGAGGAGAATCCAGTACAGCCAGTTACAGCAACAAAATTTTCGCATCCGTAAGCAAGTAGCCCTGTGTCGATCTAAGCAGTTCATAATTAAAGTTATATCAAACAATTGTTTGGTTGCTTCGACTGTTTGTTTCTCTAGGTATTTATACTGATATTGGCCAAATCTCGACGGTCGGTCCACCTTACCTATCCAACTCAGTTTGATAACAAACTTATCAGTACCAACATTCCTCAAATGTCCCAAAGCAACAGTGAGAGACAAGTGACAACTAGACTCAATGTTCGGGATCAATTGTCACGGACGATCTAACCAGCGACCCATTGAAGATTAATCCGATCCTTTTACCTATTGTGCTCAGTAGGCGGCTTCTAACAAACAAGACTTTTCATAAGTAAACACTTCAGACTTTCTATGCACTATAATCATCACATTCGTTAATATTTTCAAGATTGATTCCGTCCTGGCTTTGTGTAGTTAATGATTTAGTTTTATTGAAATGATGCCATAATTCATTTGAAAATACTATTGTAGAGCATTGATAATAAAATGATAGGGAAGTAGGTTAAGTCATTTCCTTCCATGTATTAACTCTTGTATTTATTTTAAATGTGACACAATAGTTTTACACAATAGTGGTAAAATAAATAAAAATAAACAAAACCATATAATTAAAATTAAATTATAAAAACTTTTTTGTAATGAAGTATTTTAAGGTAGACTATGGGTAATGGGCACCATAAGGAACTGTAAAATTGACAACATAGGACAGTTATATGTCTTCACCTGTATGCAAAATTTAAATAAAATTTACCGTGTGGTTTATGAGCTATGGTATTTATGGATATATTTCTGAACTAAGACTTTGCCATTAGAAGGGCTTATTTTCAGAAATGAGGAAACTGTAAATAATCTGTAATATCATCATTATAAAAAATGTTTTTCTATTGCTCATTGTTAAGAAACAAAGAATAACATTCAGGTAACACATTACACAAGCAAAATGTTTGTTTCTTAACAAAATGTTCTTAATACGTATAAAAATGTTACCCTACCCCACCCACTTTTAACACTAATTTTACCATTTCCCTATCTAAAATGCCTTATTCAAAATATCCCTTAAATTTATCGCAATGAGGGTCTGTTTTCAAAGTTTGCCTAAATTTTCTCAAAGGTATATTAGTTGATCATGCGAAATATAAAATACTTTTACCGTGTAGTTTTTATTTTATCGAACTTTGAAAATATCTGGTATCATATTTGCTATAAATTTGGCATTATTTAGCAAAAAAATACCTAAAATAATTATATGACTTTCACAAAATTTCGGGAAAACATCTTAAAGAAAATTTACCTACTTTTCAATTTCACAATTCTAAACCGAAAGTTAGAATGTCCAATAAAATGTTATATTGTCAGTATTTCTCCATTTATTTATACATTACAACGAATTTAGATTGTTTGTCCGTTGATAACACAATGAAGCAGAATAATGTAAGTTTGAGAGATAATCAAAATCTGATAACAGCCGTTTATAGATACATGAGAGTTCAATGTCGTGTTTATACATTGTTATCATAAAATATACCGAAAACAACCTTAATGAATAAGAATTTATCCTTTCATTTCATAAATGCAAAGAGAATTTAAGGGCCTGAGTGAAAGCTTAAATAAATCATATTAACTTGTAGAAGATTGTAATTTTCAGAGCAGGTCTCATTATGAAGAAATTGGACATCGAGCAAAAATTGTTATCTATATTTGTCCCTGAGATAAAATATTTCCCTTCATAACTGTTTATCAATTCAAATATGCGTTGTAACAAAATATTTCGAGTCATAACAAATATTATATATTCATTCGAAGAATGTGTGAGAATGTAAAGCAATTAGAGCAACATTATCTACTACAATTAAACAATTAATCAAAATTATCTAGGACACATTGGAGACAAAATTTAAGAATATAAAAATAAATCTGCACTACAACTGGTGTATTTTTGTGATATCCCTATTATCTATTAAGATGTATATTATTTGAATTTTTATCTTAATGTTTTTTTTCCAAACTGTTTGCAGCAGGTCCTTTGCTACCATTATAATACATATTGTGAAATCTATACAGTGTACAAGTAAAAAAATATGTTTCTTGTTTGTTTTTCTCGTTTTCTACCGCGTATATTCAGGAATAAATCAAACAAGTCATAGGTTGGCAATTGTGAATTATACAATTAAGTTACAAATACTGTCCAAAATGCCCATTGTAGTGTTAAACATTATGTTTAGTTGTTTAAAGAAGATATATAAAAAACATTCTCTTTATAGTCTTGTGTTCGTCGGTGGTATTCTTGAACTGGGAACAAAAAGGCAATGAGGAGAATTCAGTACAGTCAGTTACAACAACAACATCCTCGGTTCTGTAAGAAAGTTGCCCTGTGTCGATCTAAGCAGTTCATAATGAAAGTTATATCAAACAATTGTTTGGTTGCTTTGACTGTTTGTTTCTCTGTGTATTTATACTGATATTGGTCATAACTCGACGGTCGGTCCACCTTACCTATCCAACTCGGTTTGATAACAAACTTATAATTACCTATTTCCTCAAATGTCCCGAATCAACAGTGAGAGACAAGTGACAACTAGACTCAGTGTCCGAGATGAATTGTCACGGAGGATCTAACCAGCGACCAATTGAAGATTAATCGGATCATTTTACCTATTGTGCTCAGTAAGCGGCTTCTATCAAACAATAATCATACTATGCACTATAATCATGACATTTGTTATTATTTGTCAAGATTGATTCCGTCCTGGCTTTGTGTAGTTGATGATTTAGTTTTATTAAAATGATGACATGATTCTTTAATATACAATTGTAGAGTATTGATAATCAAATGATCTTTTTCTTCCTTAAATTTACTCTTGTGTTCATTTTAAAATGTAACAAACAGTTTTATACATTAGTGGTATAATAAATAAATATGAACAAAACCATATCATTAAGATTAAAGTATCAAAACTATGTATCTGATTTGTGTTTTTAATTTGGTTGAACATTATACCTTTTTCCCACTAATACGGAAGAAATTAGCCATTATGTTCTTTCTTTATACGTGCTTATGTGTTCAACGGCGGTATAAAACAATTAAGTAGAGTATCATATCATACGTTGTAGACAATTCAGCAATATTGTGCAAAATCTACTTTTAACATGATTATCTTAGATTGTATTATTATATAAAGGTTAAGTTTGGATTTTCTGTAATAAATAACAAGTGTTGAGACCTATTTTGCTCTATCTACACAAGCTGACAGGATGAAAATACGTGCAATAAAAACATGAAACCGAAAGTAGGAGTTTCTGCTAAAATTCAGAACAAAAATCATATCACATTGGATTTGATGATTTAAAGGGAGACAACGTTTTAGTTAATTCTTTATGTACTTAAATTACATTACCTTCCCGCTATACTACATGTGTATTTAATAAATTTATTGATATATGTGTAACAAGCCTACGTACACACACGAAATATCTGTATAAGCATAAATGTACAATAATACAAGTTATGAATTACGTCAGCTTTAAGATATCAGTAGACAACTAATAACTCCGATAACTAAAACTAATGTGTAATAAAAATGACGTTATTAAACATTTAAAGACGCCATTGAACTGGAACTGGAAAAGAGTTGTTTCTGGGGACGGGAGTGGGAAATTCATTACATGATTAATATGAATTGACATTTTCCAACCTTGTTGATGTTTTTATGATTTTAATTCTCTCGTAGATAGTCATAGACTCATAGATATTACAAATGCCTTGATTTAAAAATTTAGGATATACTTTATTAAAAAGTAAATGAAAATAATTAAGCAATTGTATGCATATCTTTCATCGATCAATACTTGCAAGTAAATAATATTTTTGTACTGTTAAACAGGTTCTTCTAAATAAATGATGGCACCAAATTAAATGACACTGTCACAAACGAGTTAAGTATAAAGTTTTTAACATTTTTTCATACCATTTGTTAAACAAGAACAACGACGCTGTTTGCTATAATTTTATTGCAAAAAAATAAACCAACACATTTTAAATCATATGATAAAGTAGCGATATAACATCGTAATATTTATAGAGAAAACATAATTTACACACAACAAGGAGATCAAGATACTAATGTATTTATGTATGGTATTGTGTATAGTCACAATACGTTTTTCTTTATACGTTTATATATGGTTTGTGTAGTGACACAATACGTTTTTGCTCAGTACGTTGATATATGGTTTCGTGTAGTCATTTATTATGCGTAATACCTTTTAGATAAAGTATTGTATAGTCACACATTATGCTCAATACCTTATTGCTTAAAACAAGCACAATAATGTATTTAATGCTTTTATGTATGGTATTGTGTAGCCACAATACGTTTATGCTCAATACGTAATAATAAAGTACATGCATTGTGTAATAATACACTTTGCTCAAATCATTTATGCTTCAAACGTTCATATATAATAAAATGTTGTCACTAATTATGCTCAGTATGTTAATGTTCCATACATTTATAAAACGTATTGCATATTCACACATTATGCTCAATATGTTTATGCTCATTACGTTTATATACTAATATGGTATTGCTAAGCCACTCATTATGCTCAATTATCCGATGTAAAATGACTAAACATGTATACTGCAAACACATGCAAAATTCATTATTAATAAATACGTAATAAGAATTTGAAATTCAAATAAAAGGTAAACATCACCACAAAAACTTCAAACGTTGAGCGTAGTGTCTTTTGTATATATACTAATAATTGTTTTGATAGAAAGGTTCGCATTAACGAATCTGGCCATTGAACATGGTAACACTGGTGATTTTTTTTTCTTCAAGATGTCCTCGATTGGTGATGATGCAATTATACAGTTCTTGCAAATCACGTGAATACTAGTTATTGATCAATTTGTTTAACAGCTTACACATATGGAATTTTGCCGAATTATTTTGTCTTCTAATCTCAAGGGAACGTGCATAACATTTGAAAGCATTGCCTAGATTATTCTCTTGTTCCATACACTGTCCAAGAAGATTGAGTGCTGTTTCCTTATGTCCGAGATTTGGTTCAACATCAATGGTTCTGGCAATGTTAGACAGAGCTCTCTGTTTATCATCTTGTCTTCTTAGCCGGGAATATGTCTTGTACTGCAAGAAATAGAGGTAAGGGAGAGTATCTACAACAGCCGTGTCCATCCAATCATCATCTTCACTTCTGCAAGCAAGGTCTTCTTGTGTTGATCTAAACATTTCGTGTTGGAGTTCTATTGGACAACAGTTTATTTCACATCGTATAAAACAGACACATGGTGCTGTTATATGTTTAAGCAGTGTGCATTCTTCATTTGATTCATAACATAATCTGTTGAAATTATCTCTTCGTGGAGACTTTTTGAATATGTAACACCCGCAAATTGGTTCAACAACACTTAGATCATAACATTCCTCAATATTTTTCAGGATAAATTCAGTCCTCTCAATATCTCCGGTACAATAGAAGAAAGATGTTAATTTCAGTTTACCAGATGCTATATCAGTGTCAAGTCCTAATGACATGAATGAAAGTGCCTTTTTGTATGTTAAATGGTCTTGTTGGTAATTGTTTAAAGATGCTAGAATAGATCCAAGTGAACTACATAAATACCGTGTTATCAAATGATAAGCTCTTCTATCTATGTTTGTGAAATTGTCATTATGTTGATATGACATAAATGTTAAAAGTTTTTGCACCGCAAATCTTGGTGACAAATCATTCATTTTACTTAACAGAAATTTGAAGAGTGAGCTTATATCACGACCTTTATCTTTTTGTATTTGTCCAGCAATGATAGTTGGTATAAAATGTGGATGTATTGGTACACAACCATTTAAACTTGACTGTACATATAAACCAAACCTGTCGCATTTAATTTCGAGCAATGCCCTTCCATCACTTTCGATTACATAACGAAGAGTTTCAAGTATTAACGGCTTCGTTTCCGGAGAAAATCGCCTGCTCATCAAATTATTTTGTGTGATGAAGAAATTAGGACAATATTCATTTAGAACACAACTGTTAAGTGTTGATAAACAAAATGATAGACAAGTAAAGAGGGTATTTTCCTTCCATGCGTCAGATCTTGTATATGAAATACAATGTAACAAAACTGTTTTACACATGTAACTTGAAATGCTGTCCGGAAATCTTTGAGAAATAAACGTTTTTAAAATCATTTTCATCAAAACATAACATCTAATTTGTGGTATGTTAAGATTAAACATTAAAAATCTCTCTGCATGTGATGCGGATATTCTCCATTCAAACGCTTCATTTAAACTTCCTGTTTTTCCAACGCCAACAACAAAACATCGTGTGTTACTGCAGTACTGTATCATATCATCTGTAGGCCAATGTCCTTCCCTATGCTGATTTAACCAATGCCGTGCTTGAACTGGTCTTAAATGACAAGGGCAAAAACATAATCACTATCACTATACCCAGGAATATCTTGGCTAGAATGGGCTGGGCCGTGACTCACTAAATTGAATGCATTATTTTCAGGACTCTTAAAAAATGTATTTTTTAACAATATTCTCCCCATTCTGTCTCTATACGAATGGTCATTAACTTCAACTACTTGTGGAAGTGGAGAATCATCTCTTAACTCTTGTAACAAACAATATCCTGGTGAGACATACTCATCTTGTATCATCAAAAAATTACGTTTACCATATTCCCATTCACTCCAGTCTTGTATCACATTATAATTGTTCATAGATATAAGACAATCTGTGTCAGACCGTAATCCTGGAGTTGTTGTACCTTCTATTTGACTACCGAAGATGAATATATTCCCATCATTACCGCGTAGCTGATGAGTTAACGTAAATAGTGATTCATTCAGTAGCATTGATCTTCTTCTTTTCATCACTATCTTCTCGTTAACACCAATCCCATCCATCACTTGAGACATTTTAAGTGATAAATTGTGAGCGTAATCTGGTATTCTCGACATGCTGCTAAAATAAAACAGAAATTCATTTGTTTTATAGAATTTTCTGTATTTCTTAATACAATAGATTAGATTTCACGATAAATAAACAACAATTTCTACTTTGAAATGGATCCCTGTAAAACACGGATGTGACACATTTAAACAAAATATTTATAAATTGCAACTTTTATAAATGATTTAACTATATATAAAAGCTCAACATTTCAAATAAAAAAGGGAAATAAAGTTATATACTTACCTTAAATTGAAATTGTACAAAACGAAAACGAAAGTTGGAATTTCCAATGCATCACACCTGAATTGGACAGGTTGAATGGTACTAAATAGTAAATCAACAAAGTACTAAATATAAATCCTTGTTTCCTTATTTGTAAATTGAATCTTACACAGACAATTGAAAAGAAATAATCGCTTTATGGTGGGTAATTTATAGTATGGAATTATAATTGTTTGACGCTAAAATATATAGAGGCTTCAAAAATATTTCTTATACATATATCCATGTAGACGTATTTTATTTCTTACTTATACATATATTTTATTTTGAACTTTTATTCGAGAAACCGGATTAAATTTAAGAATGTTTCTCATCATTTTGACAAGCCTTTAAAGCTTTTATTATAAATAACTTTACTAGATGTACACTCAATTGGTAACGTAATATTATATTTTGTTCAAATGGCAGTGATCATTCTTGTATTCAATTATAAAGATAAGTTTGATGTGACCAACGAAAAAAGAAAAGTTAAAATCATTCAGTTGTTCGACAAGCAAAGTATTATGAGATGCCTGGAAAATATGTAAAAAAAATAATATATCATCCATGAAGAACATTTCATTTATGGTGACATTTTTTATGTTACAAAAAAAAAAAGAATTTGTATCTTATTTGTCAGGATATCTAGCATTCATACCAGCATAATAATATTCCTTATTGTAATATTGTTCTCGAAGCTGTATTGCTTTCTGCAAGCTCTTTCGTAATGAAGTAGCTTCCCGGAAACAATATCACTGGACTGAATAGACAATATATCGGTATTATGCAAGAGTTGTACACATAGAACGACAATCACTGAGTGTTCATGTATCTGCTACATTTCTTTTTATTTTAAAACGGTTTCATTTTATTCCTATTTATTTAACAGTGGAAGACATTCAAGGGTGCAGACAACCTGCCCCTGAGACATGCCTGTCTGGAATAAATTAGCCCCGATTCATCTGGTCAGGCATAATCCGCCTTCTATGATCTTGAATAATTATTTTGAATGCCTATTCAAACGTTGAATTGCAAATTTAAACAAAAACACAACAATTCTGACATGTAAACGTAGTATGCATACGGCCAAAAATCTTGATTTTGGAGGCACACGAAGTCCTCAACAAGTATATAACCAGGCCAGCCTGCTGAAACCGAAAATGGTCAGCCTTTGCCACTAGTATGGAGCCAGGCCAGCTTGCTGAAACCAAAAGTGGTCACCCTCTCCAACAAGTATAAAGCCTGACCAGCCTGCTTAAAACGAAAGTGATCTGTCTTTACCACCAGTAAAGAGCCAAGTCAGCCTGTTGAAATAAGAAATGGTCACCATTTGCAACCAGTAAAGAACCAGGCCAGTCTGCTGAAACCGAAACTTGTCAGCCTTTGCCACAAGTAGAGAGCCTGGCCAGCCTGCTGAAACCGAAAGTGGTCAGCCTTACTACAAATATAGAGCCTGGTCAGCCTGCTGATACCGAAAGTACTCAGCCTCTGCCACAAGTATAGAACAAAGCCAGCCTGCTGAAATCGAAAGTGGTCAGCCTCTTCTACAAGTATAGAGCCTGAACCAGCCTGCTGAAACCGAAAGTGGTCAGCCTTTACCACAATTCAAAAGCCTGACCAGCCTGCTGAAACCGAAATTGGTCAGCTTCTGCTACAAGTAAAGAGCATGGCCAGCCTGCTGAAATCGAAAGTGGTCAGCCTTTACCACAATTAAAAAGCCTAACCAGCCTGCTCAAACCAAAAGTGGTCAGCCTCTGCCACAAGTAAAGAGCCTGGCCAGCCTGCTGAAACCGAAAATGGTCAGCTTTTACCACAATTAAAAAACCTGATCAGCCTGCTGAAACCGAAAGTGGTCAGCCTCTGCTTCAAGTATAGAGCCTGACCAGCCAACTGAAACCGAAAATAGTCAGCCTCTGCTTCAAGTATGAGCCTGGCCAGCCTGCTGAAATCGAAAGTGTCTGCCTTTGCCAATAGTATAGAACAATGCCAGCTGGTTGAAACCGAAAGTGGTCAGCCTCTGCTAGAAGTATAGAGCCTGACCAGCCTGCTGAAACCGAAAGTGGTCAGCCTTTACCACAAGTATGGAGGCAAGCCAGCCTGCTGAAACCAATAGTGGTCAGCCTGTACCACAAATATAAGGCTTAAACCAGCCCGCTGAACCGAAAGTAGTCAGCCTCTGCTACAATTTCAGAGCCTGGCCAGCCTGCTGAAATCGAAAGTTCTCAGCCTTTGCCACAAAAATAGAACCAGACCAACTTGCTAAAACCGAAAGTGGTCAGTCTTTACCACAAGTATAGAGGCAAGCCAGCCTGCTGAAACAAAAACTGGTCAGCCTGTTTCACAATTAAAAGGCCTGAACCAGCCTGCTGAACCGAAAGTGGTCAGCCTCTGCTACAAGTATAGAGCCTCGTTAGCCTGTTGAAACCGAAAGGGGTCAGTCTTTACCATTAGTATAGAACCAGGCCAGCCTGGTGAAACCAAAAGTGGTCACCCTTTGCCACTAAAATGGAGCCAGGCCATCCTGCTGAAACCGAAGGTAGTCAACCTTTGCCGCTAGTATTGAGTCATGCCAGCCTGCTAAAACCGAAAGTAGTCATTTTTTTGCCTCAAGTATGAAGCCAGGCCAGCCTGCTGAAAATGAAGGTAGTTAGCCATTTCCACTAGTAAGGAGCTAGACCAGCTTGCTGAAACCGAAAGTAGTCAGCATTTGCCACTAGTATGGAGCCTGGCCAGCCTGCTGAAGCCGAAAGTGGTCACCTTCTGCAACAAGTATAAAGCCTGACCAGCCTGCTGAAAACGAAAGTGATCAGCCTTTACAACCAGTAAAGAGCCAAGTCAGCCTGTTTAAATAAGAGATGGTCATCCTTTGCAACCATTAAAGAACCAGGCCAGTCTGCTGAAACCGAAAGTTGTCAGCCTTTGCAACAAGAAGAGAGCCTGACCAGCCTGTTGAAACCGGAAGTGGTCAGCCATTACCACGAGTAAAAAACCTGACCCGCCTGCTGAAACCGAAAGGGGTCACCCTCTAAAAATTTATAGACCTTTGTCAGCCTCTAAAAGCAAAAGTTGTTCCCTTTTTCCCACAAATTGACCCTCCCACCCAAGCTAAAACCGAAATACCCACCCTGAAAACCCAATTAAAAGGGGCCGCCAGCCTGTTGAAACCGAAAGTGGTCAGCCTCTGCTACACGAATAGAGCCTGGCCAGCCTATGAAATCGAAAGTGGTCAGCCTTTGCCACAAGTATAGAACCAGACCAGCCTGATGAAACCGAAAGTAGTCACCCTTTGCCACTAGAATAGAGCCAGGCCAGCCTGCTGAAACTGAAGGTAGTCAGCCTTTGTCGCTAGTATCGATCCGGGTCAGCCAGTTGAAACCGAAAGTAGTCATCCTTTGCCACTAGTATGGAGCCAGGCTACACTGCTGAAACCGAAGGTACTCAGCCTTTAACACTATTAGCAGCCAGGCCAACCTGCTGAAACCGAAGGTAGTTAGCCTTTGCCACTAGTATGGAGCCTTTCCAGCCTACTGAAACCGAAAGTGGTCAGCCTCTGCAATAAGTATAAAGCCTGACCAGTCTTCTGAAAACGAAAGTGTTCAGCCTTACCAAAAGTAAAGAGCCAAGACACCCTTTTAAAATAAAGAAAATGGCCCTCTTTTTGGGGGGTTTAACCTTTTAAGAACCAGGTACCCGGGGCAAAAAGGGCGAAAGAAAATCAGCTGGGGGGCAAAAGGGTTAGAAAAGCCGGGGCTGGGCCCGAGGGAAACCCGGAAAGGGGGTTTAAATTTTTTAAATTTTAATTTAAAAAGGGGGGCGATCCGGCGGGAAACCAAAGTGGAAATTTTTTGGGGGCCCACAATTTGGAGCCGGGGCCACCCCCTGCTGAAAATAAAGGGGTAGTTACCCTTTTTCCCACTGAAGGAAGCTAGACCAGCTTTGCGGGAAACCGAAAGGGGTCGGGGCATTTCCCCACTGGGTTATGGGCCGGCCGGCCTGTTTAAAGGGCCGGGAAAAGGGGGGTCCCCTTTCTTGCAAAAAGGGGGTTTTAAACCCTTTGACCACCCTGCTGAAAACAAAAAGGGAAAATTCAGTTTTTGGCCATTTATTTTTGGAAAGGTGGGAAAAGGCCCGGGCCTTTGGCTGAAAGGGGGATAGAAAGTCAGCCTTGCTTAAAGGGGTTATAGACTTGGCCCGGCCCGGGCTAAAAATCGAAATCAGCCCCTTGTTTCAAGCAAAAGATCCGGGGCCGGGCCGCTGAAAACAAAAGTTCATCCGTTTACCACAATTTATGGGAGCTGGCACCGGCTGAAATCGAAAGTAGTCAGCCTCTGCTTCAAGCATAGAGCCTGGCCAGCCTGCTGAAAACGAAAGTGGTCATCCTTTACCACAAGTATAGAGCCTGGCCAGCCGGCTGAAATCGAAAGTGTCTGCATATGCAAATAGTATAGAACAAAGCCAGCCTGCTGAAACCGAAAGTAGTCAGCCCTTGTTTCAAGTATAGAGCCTGGCAAGACTGCTGAAACCGAAAGTGGTCATCCTTTACTACAAGTATAGAGCCTGGCCAGCCTGCTGAAACCGAAAGTGGTCAGCCTTTACAACAAATATACGGCCTGACCAGTCTGCTGAAACCGAATGTGGTCAGCCTCTGCTACAGATATAGAGCCTGGTTAGCCTGCTGAATTCGAAAGTGTCTGCCTTTGCCACTAGTATAGAACAAGGCCAGCCTGCTGAAATCGAAAATGTCTGCCTTTGCCACAAGTTAAGAACCAGGCCAGCCTGCTGAAACTGAAAGAGGTCAGCCTCTGCTACAAGTACAGAGCCTGGCCAGCCTGCTGAAACCGAATAAAGTCAGCCTTTACCACAAGTATAAAACCAGGCCAGTCTGCTGAAACCGAAAGGGGTCAGCCTCTGCTGCAAGCATAGAGCCTGGCCAGCCTGCTGAAATCGAAAAGTAGTCAGCCTTTATCACAAGTATAGAACCTGACCAGCCTGCTGAAACCGAAAGTGGTCAGTCTCTGCTACAAGTATAGAATCTGGCCAGCCTGCTGAAATCGAAAGTGTCTGCCTTTGACAATAGTATAGAACAAAGCCAGCTTGCTAAAATCGAAAGTGGTCAGCCTCTGCCACAAGTATAGAGCCTGGCCAGCCTGCTGAAATCGAGAGTGATCAGCCTCTGCCACAGGAATAGAGCCTGGCCAGCCGGCTCAAATCGAAAGTGGTCAGCCTGTGCCACAAGAATAGAGCCTGGCCAGCCTGCTGAAATCGAAAGTGGTCAGCCTCTGCCACAAGTATAGAACCTGGCCAGCCTGCTGAAGTCGAAAGTGTCTGCCTTTGCCAATAGTATAAGAACAAAGCCAGCCTGCTGAAAACGAAAGTGGTCAGCCTCTGCCACAAGAATAGAGCCTGGCCAGCCTGCTGAAATCGAAAGGTCAGCCTTTACCACAAGTATAGAGCATGACCAGCCTGCTGAAACCGAAAGTGTGTAGACCAACCTCTATCTTTATTGCATTGCATTTAGTTTCAAATGAATTGTTCAATATTTAAAGCAAGGCGATTCCATTAAACAAACACAAATTCAACAGTTTAAGTATTATATTTATTAGAGAACCAGAGAAAATATACATACACAATATTAAATGAATAAAACGGATCTCTTTTGACTGGAGCAAAAGTAACTTTCAGTTTTATGATGTATCTGAAATATCAACACTGTAAAGTGGTCACCTTCATCCACAAGTAATGCATGGAAAAAAATTGTGAAAATCTAAAGAATGTTCGTACAAAATACTTAATTAAATAGATAACTCTGGAGTACATGGAAACATTATACAACAGTACAAGTTGTGTTTCTTACATTTAAAATACATGATAATTTAAGTGCTGATATACATGTACTATCAAACATAAAATAAATTGAAAAAAGTATGTACATGTAAAATTATATTATAAGAAAAAGTAAAAATATTGTCAACATACTGGCTGAACAATGTCATTACTGAAAAAATTAGATTGAACTGTTCGTAAAACACAGACAATACAAAAGTATACTAGCAATTTTATAGGATTTCATACTCAACATCTGGCACAAATACAAATACTGATAATCATTGGTACCTAACATTCATTATTTGAATTTCACGTTCCCCTGGGCCTGACACTTCTTTAAGCAAATTATTTCATTTTTTTGTCCCAAATCTTTCGTTGGTCAGAATATTAGTAATCATCTATTATGTGTTAAATATTGCTTTCTTCTTTGTAAGAAATTCGTTACAATGCCAGTGCGTTTTTTGATAAAGTGTATGTCTTCATCTATTGTTATTCAAAATGCAACAATGTTTTGTTTTTCATCTAAATGGACACGTATTATGTAAGATTATACTTTCACACAGATAAAAATGTTACACCGATAACATACTTTAAATTACATTGTGTTTGAATTGACAGTGAATTGGCGAAATATCCCACCATTAATAAAGCACTCTGGAAGTGCGATGATTAAACACTGAGCTTATTTCTATTTAAACTGATCGTGCTCAAAACTATAGAATAAGTGACTCATACTAGATAGTTTCTGGACAAACATTGTGACTTTATTATAATGACAATGTATAGTATACACTGTTCATGAATGTTCAGTGCTTTTGTCATATGTCCTCAGTATCTGTTTAAAGGATTATTGTTTGTCTGTTAATTGTTATATTTCCTATTGATCAATTTGTTTAACAGCTTACAAATATGGATTTTTGCCGAATTATTTCGTCCTCTTATTTGAAGGGAACGCGCATAACATTTAAAAGCACTTTCTAGATTATTCTCTTGTTCCATACACTGTCCTAGAAGATTAAGTGCTGTTTCCCTATGTCCGAGATTTGGTTCAACATCAATGGTTCTAGCAATGTTAGAGAGAGCAGTCTGTTTATCATCTTGTCTTCCTAGCCGGGAATATGTCTTGTACTGCAAGAAATAGAGGTAAGGGAGAGAATCTACAACAGCCATGTTCATCCATTCATCATCTTTATTTCTGTAAGCGAAGTCTTCCTGTGTTGATCTAAACATTTCATGTTGAAGTTCTAATGGACAACAGTTTATTTCACATCGTATAAAACAGACACATGATGCTGTTATATATCTAAGCAACGTGCATTCTTCGTTTGATTCGTAACATAATTTGTTGAATCTTTCTCTTTTTGCACCGTTTTTGAAATGGTAACACCCACACACTGGTTCAACAACACTTAGATCATAACACTCCTCAATATTTTTCAGGATAATTTCAGTCCTCCAAATATCTCCGGTACAATAGAAAACAGATGCTAGTTTCAGTTTACCAGATGCTACATCGGAGTCAAGTCCTAATAACATGAATGAAAGAGCCTTTTTGTATGTTAAATGGTCTTGTTGGTATATGTTTGAAGATGCTAGAATAGATCCAAGTGTACTACATAAATATCGTGCTATCAAAAGGTAAGCTTTTTTATCTATGTTTGTGTAATTCTCAATATGATGATATGACATAAATGTTAAATTTTTTTGCATCGCCAGTCTTGGTGATAAATCATTCATTTTACTTAACAGAAAATTGAAGTTTGTGCTTATACCACGGGCATCACATTTAAGTAATTGCCCAGCAATGAGTGTTGGTATAAAATGTGGATGCATTGGTATAAAATCATTTAAACTTGACTGTAGATATTTATCAATGTTGTCGCATTCAATTACGAGCAATGCCTTTCCATTACTTTCGATTACATAACGGAGAGTTTTAAGTATTAACGGCTTCGATTCCGGAGAAAACTTCCCGCTCATCAAATTATTTTGTGTGATGAAGAAATGAGGACAATATTCATTATGAACACAGTTGTAAAGTGTTGATAAACAAAAAGATAGACAAATAAAGAGGGTATTTTCCTTCCATGCGTCAGATCTTGTATATAAAATACAATGTATCAAAACGGTTTTACACATGAAACTTGAAATGCTGTCGGGAAATCTTGGAGTTATAAATGTTTTCAAAATCATTTTCATCAAAACATAACATCTGATTTGTGTAATACTGAGGTTAAACATTAAAAATCTCTCTGCAAATGATGTTGATATTCTCCATTCAACTGCTTCATTTACACTTCCTTTTCTTCCAACGCCAACAACAAAACATCGCGTGTTATTACAGTACTGTATCATATCACTTGTAGGCCAAAGCTCTTCTCTATGTTGATTTAACCAATGCCGTGCTTGAACTGGTCTTACGTGACAAGGAAAGGCAGGAACAAAATCAAGACCTGTGACTCCAGAAACACCTTGATTAGTATGAGCAGGCCCGTGTCTTACTGAATTAACATTAGCGACAACATTAAAGAATGTATTTTTTAACAATATTCTCCCCATTCTGTCTCTATATGAATTACCATGACTTTCAACTACGAGCGGAAGTGGAGCATCATCTCTTAACTCTTGCAACAAACAATACCCTGGTGAGACATACTCATCTTGTATCATCAAAAAATTACGTTTACCATTTTCCCATTCACTCCAGTCTTGTATCACATTAAATTTGTTCACAGATGTAAGACAATCTGTGTCAGAGTGTAATCCTAGAGTTGTTGTACCTTCTATTTTACTACCGAAGATGAATATATTAGCATCTTCACCGCGTAGCTGATGAGATAACGTAATTATTGATTCATTCAGTAGCCTCAATCTTCTTCTTTTCATCACAATCTTCTCGTTAACACCAATCCCATCCATCACTTGAGACATTTTAAGTGATAAATTGTGAGCGTAATCTGGTATTCCCGACATTCTAAAATAAAACAGAAATTCATTTAGTTTTTAAATATTTCTGTATATCCTAATAAAATACATTAGAACATATGTTTTCACATAGATAAACATCAATTATTCTTGCATATCAGACAGGATTATCTACCATTTCGGCGGTGCTAGAAAACCCTGTCTTACACCCCCATGTAATTTAAGACAAGTCGCGTGCTTTAAATGACGTCATTGCTGCGCGCCTTATAAGAATAAATTGCGTTCTTAAGATGACGTCACTTAACCATTATGAATGAAGTTGTAAGCTCATACGCTGCTATAAGAAAAAAGTGCGTAATGAAAATAACAGTCTTCGTAATTTCTGTTCTGAAAATAATTGATATGTAATATGCAAGAAAAAGAATCAAACACCGGCTGTCGGTACAGACGGGAATATCTAGCTCTCGGGTAACTGTTTAGCGGAAACTCGGCAGAGCCTCGTTACCGCCGTAAACAGTCACCCTCGAGCTAGATATTCATGTCTGTACCGGCAGCCGGTGTAAGATTCATATATTACTTTTAAATAAATCCCTGTAAAGCACCAGTGACACATTTAAACAATGTATTTATAAAGGTTAAATTTTATAAATGATTTAACTATTTATAAAAGCTTAAAAGTTCAAGAAAAAGGGAAAATAAAGTTATTTATCTTTACCTTAAATCGAAAATTGTACAATACGAAATCGAAAGTTGGAATTTCCAATGGTCCACACCTTAATTAGACAGGTTGAATGGTACTAAATAGTAAATCAATAAAGAACTAAATTTTAATCCTTCTTGTAGATTAATTAAAACTTTACTCGTAAATTTAATCTTACACAGACAATTTAAAAGTAATAATCGCTCTCTGGTGGCTATTTTCAGAGGATGAAATTATTGTTGAACGCTATCATATCCATGTATAGAGACTTTGAAACTATCTCTTTATTAGAAAGACATGTACTATATTTCGAACTTTGATTTGAGCAACCAGATTAGTAAATTCAAGAATGTTTCTTATCATTTTGACAAAAAAATCAAATCTTTAAGGCTTATAAATAACTTAACTACATGTACACTTTATTGGTAAAATATTTTTTTTTTCAATTTGGCAGTGATTATTCTTGTGTTACTCAGATAAGGATGATATGAACAACGAAGCAAGAAAAAATCAAATAAATCATTTCTGTGGTTCTACAAGTAAAATGTTATGAGATGCCTGGAAAATATGCAAAATAAAATATCATGTCTATAAACAATGTATCCTTTATAATGACATTTTTTCTTTTATTTTACAAAATAACTTATTTCGCCTCTTTTTTGTCAGAATGTCTAGCATTCATAGCAGCATCATGCGATCTATTCCTTATTGTGTTATTGTTCCCGTACACTTTAGCTTTCTGTCAGCTGTTTGTTAATGAAGAAGCTTCACGGAAACTATATCGCCGGACCGAATCAACAATATATCGGTCTTGTGCAAGAGTTGTAAACCTAGACCGACAATCACTGTGCGTATCTGCTACATTTCTTTCAATTTTGAAACAGTTCCATTTTATTCTGTGGGAAACATTCATGGGTGCTGACAATCTGCCTCTGAGACATGCCTGTCTGCAACTTCCATACTTCCTATTTATCTTGTCAGGCATAAAATGCCTTCTATGATTTTGATTTATTAAATTGAATGCCTTTTCAAATGTTGAATTGCAAATTTAAACAAAAGCACAGAAATTCATACATAAACACATACTTTGTATGCATTCCGCCAAAACCTTGATTTTCGAGGCTCACAAAGTCCTCGTTCTTAAATATGTCGACATACATTTCCATGTAAAAAATCGTTGCATGATTTTAACTTTATTTGAATGCACATGCCCCTGCATTTCTATATAGGTTAAAGTTTATTACTTAGTACTGTAACAAATCAAATTGGTCAAGCGCGACTCAGCCGGGCGACCAATTTGATTTGTAAATACGTACTAATCAATTTTACCCAGCTTTGTGTTTTATTTTTTTTTTTTTATTAATAGATGATTTACCAGACTGATTAACAGTTTTCCGATTTACCAAAGCAAATGAAACGCATTGACAACGTTATAAAGAATAGTTCACATTTATATAACAAAATTCCTTATTTTAATATGAATTAAATTCTTCTATATTAATGTTTTAAAATGACTTTCATAAAATGAAATAATTACCTTGCTTGTTTTTCTGACCAATTATTCACCAATATCATCACATAATTATATTTGATATCTTATACATAAAAACATAACTGTATCACTGCCCAGTTCCGTCATTGTCACTGTTATTCTTTCACAATGGAAATGTTTTGTTTTGTTTTGTTTTTGTAATCACATTTTTTACTGTAAAAATTCTTCAGATTTAAACATATTAATGTTAATCATAAATTATCTTCTCCAGTGTCTAATATTTTGGCATAGATGTTTTGTATGTCAACCAAGTTAATGAATTCAAACTGAATTCAAACTCCTATGACCTGAAGTATTTATCTTAACCATTGTTAAAATCATATCTGTTTGTAATTAAATGACAAAAGAACTGAAACAAATCAGTATACATAACAACTTAAGACAAAAGCTTTAATACTAGAGGTAGGTAAGTTTACATTCAAATACATCATTATAGCGTGATAACATTTTTTAAAAATATATCATTACATCTGTCAAGCGTTTATGATACATCTAGTTATAAAGGGTTTAAAAACTTAAATTATAGAATATCTGTATCGTTTGAATAAAATATCTAATAGTTCACCTCTAAATTGAATGCATTTTTTATTGATCATTGTTTTGAGTTTTAAGATTTACATATTTTCAATTTATAGAATGAAAAATATTCTTAAGATATTAAAATAAATAAATAGATACTGATATAATCTCACTTATATACTCAGGTCGTATGTCATTATCGGCATTGTTTACATTTTACATGTACCGATAAACGCTTCTTGTGTTAATTTTGGGGACTGACAACTATAAATTACGTCAGATTTATAAAGAGTAATGATTTATTTCATTAATTGTTTACATATTTTCTAATATTCAGCGTACATTTAGCTAGAAAGTTGCATTTATTGTAATTTTACTCGGTAAACTTTGACAGGTGTTGTTGTTGTTCGCTGATGCATTATGGGTTGTGTGACTTCCGTTGTCAATAGCAATTGCTGCCTTAACTCAGTAAACAAACCGTTTCAAAGTTATGTATCATCAAAAAGCAACAAATTATAGTCAATCCATGGTACTAGTCATTTTTATAAATATTATATGTATCAATTTATCGTATTTTTTATGTAAAGTTTCATTAGAACTTTAGCTAAGAATTGTTGATGTTCGGACGTTCGGTTGGTTGACAGCGTTCTTTGTGTATGGAATTGATCGTTTCCGAACGTCAAATGTTCAGTTTTCGAACGTCGAACATTGTCAACCGACCAAAACGTACATTTGAACATTTTTCGAACCTTCTTATGTTCGTTTTCTCAGATTTGGTATAAATAGGCCAGAAAAACGATCAACTTCAGTCAGTTTTCATTTAACTTTCGGTTAGTCTACATTATTCAATTTATTGTCGTGTTCTTCTGAACGGCAAATTTTACTTATTTTTAAGGCAAATAAAAACGTAGTCTTTAGATCATTATTTTACATTTAATCAATTATTGTCTAAGAATAATTGATAAGAACTTATATAATTTTTTTCCACATTATTACGGTCACTGACTCGACCAAACTTTATATTTACGTTTCATCATTTTTTGAATAGAAATTAAACGGCAGTCGCGGTAATAATTTTATGTGAAGTCTATGTAAGACTTAGCTATCGGATATTTAAGACTGAATTATATACATGTGTTGATATTATTTACAATACTGTTATTTGAATATTAGACAATTGAATTTATTAACAGTTTAACACTAATTAAAATTAGTAAAACTGTGAACAGTCTTTCTTCTTTGTGACTCAATTTTAATCTTAAAACTGGCGTACCTCCAGAAGTAAGAAGTGTTATCAAGTACTGTTGGAGTACAGTGTCCTAGCCATACGAGTTATACAGAGTAGCCCACTATTGACAGATGTCGTAATAGCATATTTCAGCCAAATAGATCTATATAGACTTTGACAGTCATTCGAAACAAGTATCATCAGTCCCTCTAACCCTAACAATTTCTATTTTATATAGAACATTGTTATATTTGTGATCGTTTCATTGTTCGTAAATACAATATCGTTCTCTACAGTCCAGTACGATTATTGGTCACCAAGTCTTGAGCACGTTACCACATTTTTAAGAGGATTAAAGGGGCCTGGTACCATATATCTGGACCGTAGCGTAACATTTAATGGGTGACTGGCGGTGGGATTTGATAATCAAACATCAAATTCCAGTGATACGAATCCAAGCTTTAGCTTTAGCGGGACTTTATATCGCCAAGATGAATACAGTGCAAGCAGTCAATAGTGATCATACCATATTTTTCAATTCAAATGAGGAGGCAGGGCAAAGTCATGAAAGTGAAGATGATAATATATCAGTCCTATCTCATATGATGAGTGATCATGAAGATGTTGGTGTAAACACAATCACCAACCGTACAAAATACACCTGAAACAAATAATGTGAATGAAGTCCTTAACGGTATAACTGGTATTTTTAAAAGATGTAGTCACTGAACTGAAAGTTTAAAGCAGTCTCAATCTCAACCTTTAGGTATGAATAATGGGCAATAGTTAACAAAGCTAATGAAGTTGATTTGAACTCAAATAACCCACAGATTTGATGATGTACCCCTTATGGTAGACTCCCACACATGTATAGAAGAAATTGGCAAGAATGTCAAAGTACACATGACCCTTTATTAATTTCAAGATTTCAAATACAAATCTGGTAATTATAAACCCCTAGTAAATACCCCCTCAAGTGACCAAAATAGGGTTATTTTAAACACCCGTGTTCGGTTCTAATAAAGAAACTTTGGGTCACCCCCCCGTATAACCGGGTAAGCAAATTGATGGGATGGGTATAAACACCCCCCCTTTTAACCCGGAAAAATTATGATGACAATTTTACATCTTACCCCCGTGTAAAGATCCCAGTGCCAACAATAGAAATAAAGGGGTACACTTTTAAAAGTAGCAGGGGTTTTACGGGTAAAAAAAGGGGAAAGGTAGGGGATAGTAGTTTTTAAAGCTAAGCTCAGCGTTACGGGGGCAGAGAGACAAGAGATAAAATATTGCCAGTTTTTAAGGGACAGGCCCAGAGAGTTTGTGTTCACACAGCTACAGCCTAATGTATTATTAAGTTACAGAAGTTAATAGATGAGCCTGAATAACAGGTATAGGTTTATCGAAACCCCGAGGTCTTTCGCAGTCAAATTTTAGGTAAAAGAAACCAGAGAGTAGGTGAAACCGCAGAGGAGTTTTGCAGCTGAATTGAAGGTTTTGTATGATAAAGCCCATGGTTTTCGAATAGGGGAAAACTCGTGAAGAAGATCTTCGTGCGTAGATTCTTAGGATGGTTTGCGTGATGATGAAGTATGCTATGAAGTAAATATCATAAGGAGCCTGAGACAATTGATGCTGCTGTGTTTCATGAATGTGAATCTGAACAGACCAGAAATTTGCGGAGACACGTAAAGCACTAGGAGAGCTTGTGCTTGAAATGATACCTTAGCAGGCAGAACCTCACAAAAGCAACGAGCAGAGAAATCAAAGAAGGGAACATTTTTCCCAATACCTTTACTAATTTACACAGCATACTTAGAGAAACCTTGCAAAACAGAATGAAAACAATCAAGAATATGATATGTCTGATATCTTACAGCGACTTAACAGATTAGAACAAAATAAAGTCAA